AGTCATTGGATAAACAAACCCTATATATCCCAAAACCATGATCTCATGTAAAATAAAACAATGCCTTGTGTCCCCCTTTCCCCATCATTCATAAACAATATCACAATCAAAGACCAAAACACAAAGGGAAAAAACTGTCTTTCCCCAAGCAAAGTGCACTTTCATTTATTCCATAGAAGTTTTCCTTGCTTTCTCATTAGAGTTAATTTTGCTGTCTCAGGTAATTTATTTACTTTGTTGGATCAGCCATTTTTATGTTGATAAATATAATATTTTATTTTGTTGTTCCCTAAATTTTTATTTTAATGAATTTCTACAAGAAATAAACACAAGTAAATGGCAATGCGTGCAAGGCAAAACCCCTTTGAACATCTTGTCATAATGAAAAGTTAAGTCATCAAAACAAAACTATGCTGTAAAAGTATAGATATGACTAACCTTCCACTATGGGAGATGTTGGATCAAGTGTTATGATATACTTCTGGTCAACCTTTCTGGCTTGGTTACATGCTGGTCTAATTTTCCTATTTCATTTTGGCAAATTTGGGCAATTTAATTCTTATTTCTTCCTAATGATTTAAGGTATATGGAACCTTAGCCATTTTTGTTTTGGTATTTTTACTTTTACCCTTTCCACTTTTGTTTTTACAGGACTTTTAATAGGACTAGATCGGGGAGAAAACTGTCAGCAAGTGCATTGACAAATCTGTTTGGTTTCTACCTTCTGCTAGGCATTGCACAATTTTGTTTGGGCATCCAATCAGGTGTCTTTCAAAATCAGTCCATGTTCCTTTCCATGCCCAGCAAAGACCACAACCTTTAGTCACACATCCTACTGCACTCCCCACTGAAAGGTTTTGTATCATTTGTATCAATCGCTCAGACTTTTTGGCGTACAGCATATTTTTGAGTTCCAGCCGTTATGGTTTCTGCACACTTGTTGAAGACAAAGAATCAACATGTTAACAGTGTCCCTAGAAATAGAGATTATTATTTTCATCAGATTCATTGATAACACGTGTCATTTTCAGCCATACCATGTACATGTTTGCGAAAAAATAGCTCAGAAGACAACAGAATCGTCGATTTACTTCCTCACTTAAGTTACATAAACGGTTTGGGTTAAAAGTGCAGATCTTAATTGTTTTTCGAAAAAAACGTTTATGTAACTTAAATGAGTAAGTAAATCGACGATTCTGTTGTCTTCTGAGCTATTTGTTCGCAAATATGTACAATTTCTTAAACATATGATACTGATACACGTTTGTGTTCAAAATGTCGTGGGAATTCTGCCCACAACGTGTAAAAAAATAAGGAAACGAGAAAAAATCGTACCTTCGATGTTCCGACATTTTGTTACCAAAACGGTTCGTTTTGGTAACCAGCGTAATCGAGTGGATCACCAGTGCATAAATATGTTTAGTTAATTTGGCAAGTGAATAGATAGATTTTCCATGATCTTCCGATTCAACTACTGAGCACTCTGTACATCTGGGATCATCTTAACCTGCTTAAAAAGCTGTCTATTAAGGAGTGTCAAGTCCTCAAAATAAGAATGCCTTTACCTTCTTGTTGCACATAAAAGCATGTTTAGTTCCTAAAAATGCCAGGTGAGCAATCATATGTTGAGCTTTTGATGCTCTAGCTGTGGTTTTTTCGCAACCCAATGGGCAATCTCTCTATCTTCCTCATAGATAATGGCAGATGACAAAAGCAAAATAATCTGTAAGCGTTGTATTTGAGGTTCAGTTTATATGTATGACAAATATCACAGCATAAGAAAAATCTTTCTTATGCTTTTTTTTTCTAATGCTAAGAAGTCTTGAGGTGTTACTCAATTTATTCCTCAAAAGTTGCATCAAATTTATAATGGCAGATCTATACACACTGTGGTGATATCAATTGTTGAAACAACATTTACTTTGTAATTCAACTGTTGTGTCTACAGTCCCAAATTAACCATATGAATATGACTAATATACAATTGCTATCGTACATTTACATTCTGTCTTGTCTACAAGAAGTTCTAGAATTACTTTGTACTTGTTTTAAATAGTTCATATCAATAATATATTATTTTTTCTTCAGCTCTATGTGCATTGTGTTTATCTTCAATTGTGATTGTTTAGAGTGTTATAGGTTCAACAGCCTTAATAGTTAAATTCTCTCTAAGAACAATTATTTTTTCTTTGCTTTTTAACTTGATGCCATTCTCTCTACACTGGTGAGATAGCAAGAGATTGCTCAACACTCAAGTTAACAGTTTTGGAGATATTATATTGTAGTATAGCCGGAAGTGCATTTTGGGAGAAATTAGATGAATTATGAAAAGTAATGGTTGTGAGATTCTGATGAAACTGTTGTAAAATTATAAGGGCTCAGTGATGTCAGATTGGGCACCTGGCTGTGTAGCTTTGCAGTTAGTATCCTACAGGAACATGCTTCAAAGAACATCTTGGCGAGATCCTGGGCCTTTTATGAGACGTCAATAATGGGCAACAGGACTATCAGCCATCACTACTTTGTACATTATAGTTATCATTTTTAAGTTCTAAGTATAAAAATTGGAATATAAAGGTAATGATTGAAACTTGGTGACCATAGATTGTAAAGGTATTAAACCATAACTGCATGACATACCACATATAGTAATTGAAGGAAAATGAACTACGAATGTCAGTTGTTTGATAAAAGGTGTGTTTTCTTCAACCATTGTGTAATTTACACCAAATAAAAAGAATATTTGTAAAGTACTGTGGTGCATTCATACACAGTGAATTTAACATGTTGGTTGCGTTGTGGTTGTACACCATTTAATGATGAAGTAATTTTAGTATGTACCACCAAAGTGAATTGTAAGATAAGTAGGTTTTATGATAAGCACATGTAGAATTTTAACACCATCTGCACATATTGGTGCAGTGTGATGAGTAATAGATTTGTAGAAGATTTAGCTGGATGAAGAAAAAGGTGGGGGGATGACACAACTAAAATCACACAACAGGTAATAGGGTGCCTGAAATAGAGTGTGATTCCTTTATTACATTAGAAGGACAATTCCATTGGCATCCACGTGATATTGTGAGGTTGGCTTGACTATTTCCAGAGTTTCTATTCTGAGAATTTGGTCTGCCATTTCATGTAATTTTATGTTCAAATTCTCTCCACCAATTTTTGAGATAAAACAGCTATTAACAATTATCACAGGCTTGTATTGAAAAGTTTGTCCGCTGAGACGGAGCGTACTATTTTGCATAGAAACACTAGGAAATCCACACAATTTATTTTTTTACTAATATGTTTTGCTATATCAAAGAAAATTACTGACTCTATGCAATGACTATATAATTTATGGGTAACTTTAACTTCTGTTTGAAGTCCAACAACGCAAACGCAAAGAGTAAAAACTTGAAAACGGTGTCGGAGTATCATAATGTACCATTTCTTTTTAATGGTACAATATAGCGACACGATAATATTTACATGTTTTCAGCATAACTCTGAAGGTATTAATGAGATCTTGATGTATTGGGTGTTTTTAATTTGTTTTATAAAAAATGTTAAAAATTTTTGTCAGCTGTGACGGAGCAGTTTCAAATCTGAAATACGTTCAGAATTCAAGATTCATAATATATCTGTTACAACTTCACTGTGGAGGAGCGGACATGTCAAATCTCTCTGTTAAGTATTCTGAAAAATGAAACGTAATGAAAGTACACAATTCAAATTCTGAGATGTACGACCACTCATTAAGCTTCTTTTCTCAGTTTGTACTGCAATCCAACTTACGCATGGTAACTCATGAAAATGATAGTCAACTTCATTTCAGTATAGGGTATTTGCCTTTTGAGTGCCTACAGTGGATCCATCACCTGACATGGTCATTTTTACGGTAACTTGATTATTTGAAGTAAAATTATTTGCCGAAGATGAAGCTAAATATATATAACGGTATGGACTACTGATTGTTCTACCCTCTTTAGCCGTTCCAAAAGGTAAGTGAAGTGTATCTTGAAATACGAAAATGCAAAATTTGTTTTAAAATTGTTCTTTATTTGAATAAGAGTCATGGCTATCTGATACAACTACAGTAAAACATGTGCACAGTGAACAAATATGGAGCCCAAAAATGTGTTCCCAGTTGGTGGATGTTCACTCCATAGAGGCAATTTCATACAGAAGTCAAAGGAATATTTGATAAGAGGTGTTCACTAGAGAAAGATATTCATTGATACAGGCTTTACAGTGCAGCACGTTTACCAAGACTTTTTTTATAATTTTTTTAGTCTATGCAAAACAATGAATTTCATGAATTTCAAATAATTACAAATTAAATCTGTATCGGTATCATCTAACATACAGTAATATTATGTGGCAAAAGGTTATACATCAGTCGGAATGCAGGATGTCTGTGCCCTATTTCGAATAAATTCATATTAACCCTATTTACTCTACAGGTGACATTCCAAGACGTCTAGGCGAAAATGTAGTAGAAATATTATGTTGAATTTACACCATGTTGATTCATGTTGATTTCAGTACAAACCTCTGAAAAATGCTAAGAGTTGTTGTTTTATCTCAGATTTACTTTACCCCAGATCTGCCCGAGGCTACTTGTCATAATTTAGGAACTTGATTTGTAACGTTCTCTCTTCTAAGGGTACTTTTAAAAGATATAATTTGAATCTTATAATTCTTGACTTAGTTCACAGTTAAAACTGCTCCATCACAGCTGACAAAAAATATAAACATTATTTTTTATAAAAAATATTAAAAATACCCAATACATCATATATCATTAATACCTTCAGAGTTATGCTAAAAACATATGTAAATATTATAGTGTCACTATATTGTATCACTAGGCCTAAAAAGAAATAAAAGTAATGGTACATTTTGGAGTATGATACCCTGGCGCCGTTTTCAATAGCTTTTACTCTTAGCGTTGTTGATCTTCAAACAAAAGTTAAAGTTACCCGCAAATGATATACTCATTGCATGGAGTAAGAAATTTTCTTTGGTAAAGCGAAACATATGAGTGAAAAATAAATTGTGTGGGTTTCTTAGTGTTTCTATGCAAAATGGCACGCTCCGTCACAGCGAACAAATTTTTCGATACCAGCCTGTGAATTATATACAGGATTTGTTAACATCTCCTATTCCTTCCCCCAAGTTGGTTTACATAATTAAATATTGCTTTGTCAGAGAAATTCCCGAAATATCAGAAAATATGAACTGTTTCATAAAAAGCACTAGTACATACAAATTTCCCTCTCTCACTCAAAAGGTGCAATGCGCATGCTCATTAGCTAGGATTACAAAAAGTGCGAGGCTGCATGTGCATGACATCATTAAAATGGCAGCGTCCATGAAAAGTTTTTTAAAAGTTGATAAACATGCAGAATACAGTGAAACTAGTATTGTCGCGTAAGGATGTGAATACAATAAGATATAGAAAGTTACTGAGCATGAAAACTTGCTGTAAATAAAGTCTGAAAAGATTGCTAAGTCTAGATATGGCACCTAAAATGATGGTTTTGAAAATTGAATGAAATATTTAAGAAGTTAAATAGACCAAGAGGTAAAAAACAATGAAAAAACAAGAAAGAAAACAAAGTTGTTATGATATTTATATATAACATTGAATGCTAGTACCCTCAATTACTACACTATCCCCCTCTAAAAACTTTGTCTCGAAGTGCTTAAACAGTTAGGTTTTGCTTGGTAAGATTCATCTCTCAGTTATTCAAAATGCCAATGTCTAGGTGCTCGTAGAGTTCATAATTCTAAGTGTTCATAATTAGTGTTCACAGAGTTTTGCAGTTTTATCTTGTGGTACCCAGTCTCCCATGTTGTTGGCTCTTTCTTCAAGGGGAGTGGATTTACATCTTCTTGGAGGACCACCTTCTGGTTGATGGTGCTGGTCTTCATTCTCCAAGTTACTTCTGTGGGACCGTCTAGCCACCTTACCGAGCCTGTCCTACTCACTCTGAGATGGTAATGATGGTTTGCTCTCCAGGTGGAGAGGCTGGAGGGAGCTCAGTGGAGCCCAAAAAATCTGGGGTCAATAGAGGACACATTCCCCACACCAACCTTTAAGGGACAATCCAGGGGGATGGGCTTCCAGGGCCTGGTGGTGTTTGGAGACGTCTCAGCTTAGGTGATGTTGGGCATCCTCACGGCTGGTGGTGTTGGAGCTTCCTCCTCCAGTGTGTCTGTGGCCTTAGAAACCTCCTCTATTAGTCCTTCTATAGTGATGGTTAAGAGCCTTTCTAGCTGAGTCAGAGCTGGGTTGAGAGTGAGGGATAGCGAGGGAACTGGGGTCGCTCTCTTGTCTACTGTTACTGCAACCATAGGCTCGCAGTCACCGCTCTCACCCTCCTTGCTGGTGTTGTTCGGACTGCTATTTATGTTAGCACTCTGGCTCTCGAGTGGTAGCGGAAGCTTGGCAGTTGTGTCAAGAAGTGAGTTGTTGTTTAACCAGGCAATCACTTAGGATTGAAGGGTGTCATCCGTGTTTTATGAATCTCAATTAATTCATGAACTTGTTGAAAAACTTGACTCAAATTAGGACCCTAACAGCAATAATACAAGGTCACTCCTTAAAGCTGACCTACTTGTTTCACTTGAAATAGGGTAGTTACTCATCCACTCATTTTTATTTGTACCAGTCGAGAATCTATACTTGGAGATAATGTATCTGAGATAAATCACTTAAGTCTTGAACGACATGCACTTATTTGGTTTTAAATAAGCTTAATATAAGTGATCCAAAACTCGCTCTAGCCATTTTAGTGATTGCTCAAAAGAAGAAGCAAACTTAATGAAAACATCCAGAGAGATAATGATCAATCACCATTAACTTATTCCATTAATCTACAGAAAGTGGATGATGCATTTGAGTACCCGGAACGCAATGGAGTCCACTGGTATTCCTCCCCTTTCTCTGAATGTAGACCCAAGCCATTGAGTCCCAAGGAGACCTACCAACATCCACTGGCCAAATCGAATGTGGTTAAATATCTAGGCTAGAAGCATGCCATATTTAGTCAATTTTGTTTTTGAAGCACGACTACTTGCCAGCTTGCTGGATCTGATACTATATACCTTTTAATCTTTACTCCTACAGGAGACTTGTCATTTTAAATCTCCTTGGATGTAACAAGGCAAATAAATATGCTATTTTATCGAGAGAACATCATGCTCATGGTGGATGAATATCATTGCTAGAGGTAATAGGCTCTCCTTTGTCATCATGGTTCTGCTGTATGCATGAAGACGTCACAGCCAGCTATTTGACTTTTCGCTTTTAGGCAGCTATATATGTATGGCAGCTAGCTATGTATATATGTCGTGCAGCCTTTCTTAAAGAGGGTGTGTATGTTTGGAAACATTAGTTACATCACAAATTTTGTTACCTCCATCCAGAGTAATGGTTTTATCTTCTGCAGGTATATTCACCTGTTTATGCTTCCATAGAATAAACTCAATTCAGGCTTCAACTTGATAACACTTGATTCTTTTTCCATTCACTTCTGTAAAGATTTAATCATTCTTCCATAAGTTAATTGAAGGCATAAGTCTACCAAGTTTCACATTTCCAATTTTAAGCAATTTAGTCTTCAGAGTGGTTGCACATACACCTTTATTATTATTAGACTATATTTAAACTAATACTAACATAGTTTACTACTTTACATATTATTTGTCCCGGACAAACTTCAATAATCCCGAAAACATAAACTGTATATAGATAAACAAGATCAGTTCATACATTAGACCTGCTCCACTTGTCAAATGCTGATCTCCTGTTTTTTTGTTATCTTAAAACTAATTATGTCCATAGGCATTAGTTCCGTCTTAATATGTACATTTAGACATTTTGCAACGATTTTTGTGACCCCTGTAACATAACTCATACCCATGCATGTTGTATTTCTGAATTCATACCAATACATGTTGCATTTATGTAACTTGTACCTATGCATGTTGCATTTGATATTTTCCTGAAAAGCAAGGGAATACACACCTTCATACTTTATTCTCTAAATCTTGCATACTACAAATGTGACAAAAACTAATATCAAACCCAAAATTAGGAGAATGGCAGATTGAAATCTCAATGGTTTTGAAATTTCATGAGGCTAGACAAATTAAATACAAATATTTTGTCTAGTGCAAGTTAATGTATGGAATTATCTTAGACAAAATTTGTCATAAAATTTGCATGTTAAAAATTCGTCTATGCCTTAACCTGTATTTGTACACCCATAAAGAGGAACTGGAATGCCAGCCAAAAGTAATAATTTTTTGTAGACCGACATTGCTGACAACAATGCTTTATCCCTGGCATCAGGTCTGAATAGTATTTTATAAACATTGGGCTGTTGCCTAATTTTTTTGGAAAAAGGGCATCAGAAAATCACACAGACGATGTATTTTACTCAACTGTTTAATATTATCTTATATTATATATATCTGAAATATATATTATCTGAAAAAATATTTTTTGTTGCATGTTGTTTGAACATTGTTCAGAGTGTATGAAGAAGTATTTTCCCTAATAAAATAGGCTGTAGATTTGATGACAAATTGCTCTAGATGTCATCAATCTTAAAAGTGGGTGTGTCAAAGCATCTTCTCTTGCATAGAGAAACTTCGTCTTTAATAATTTGGCAATAAGTCTTACAGATTCACCAGCCAAATATGGATGCACTTGATCCTCTTCATATGATTGCAAAGGAGTTGGGATTAAATAAGGATTTATTCATGTATCTCATGATATACAGAGAGATCAATTAAACAGATTTAAAGGTGGGCAATTAGACTACAACTTCTTGTTTATTGCTTTTTCAATAATTTATCTTCTAAGTAAAGTATTAAAGTGTAATGTATAAGGTCTAAGGTCATTGGGTCTAAAAAGTCATACAATAAGACAACATTCATCCAACCTCCTTTAGGTCATCTTGTAATATCTCCTCTTTTGCAAGGGTCCATATCTCCTCTTTCGCAAGGGTTTATATTGCAGCAGAGAACATGCAATACAGTGCCATATATTCCTCTGGTAGTAATTCTGTAAGAACTTAAGGCCCATAGTTCAAAAGGAATGAACAATGCTCCAATGCTGGAAACATATATGAGGGGTGATCAGGAATTTCTAGAACCGTTGTCTCTTTTTTGCCATTTTTCATCATTTCTTAATTATTTTTTTACACAATGTAACCCAAATAAATAGGATCACACCATGAAGATTTCACTGTTCTTTGACATCATTATCCTATTATTTTTGTTACCATGGTAACTGGTGACGCAATAAGGTGGAGCTCGCTATTATGTACTTATATTTGCTATAAAGAAAACCATGAAACTTCAAATAGATTAAATTAAATGACAGGAGATTTCAAATCAACTTAACTGAATGGAAGATGCCCTCGGTGACATCATGGTTCTCCAAAAGTGACTTCAGCACACTCTTCGTAAGGAGAGGGGTCTGGAGTTCTTCAAGAGATTTTGTCTAAACAATGATAACGCACCACCCCAGAGAGCAAGCCTCACACAAAATGTTATTGATTCCATTGGTTTTGGCCGTGTACCACACGCATCGTATTCCCCAAACTTAGCTTGCTTTGATTTCTATCTTTTCCCCACAGTGAAGAATAAATTTCACTGTACAAGGTATTAACTTTGAAGACAGTAATTTGATTGGTCGATTCTGCGGCTGTCATGGCAACGCGAGTAACGCTAAGGCAGGGCAGGTAGACTAACTGCAGTATTTTTGCACGTTTAAAATGTTAAGAAAAGAGATTGTATGATGTTTATGACTTAAAATGGACGCTTAAACTCATTTTTAACTATAAGCCTAAAATGCTTTGCCAATTTATTCTAAATAGTTTCCTCCATTTTTGACACAAACTCTGTGCCTTCTGACCCATTCTTGAAAGACTTTACTGAATCCTGTCTGAAGTCTGTTTAACACATGTGAACGCATAATATTTCACTATATTGCCCTTACAAATGACGTTATTGTACTATTATCTAAGGGTTGCCCCATCTGGATTATTTCTACATACAAAGGCAACTAGTGGCCATTCATTTGGAAATCGGATATCATTTATCAGAATAAACATCTTTCATGTTGATATGATTCTTCCACCTCTTTTTTTGTACTACATTCAATGATATAAATGACCTTAGTCCAATTGTCAAAGAGTTCTTAATCAGTACTAACTTAGGATAAGTAATATTTCAGCTGAAATTGTTACATGTGATGTCTAGCCCCTTTTTTCTTGGATGGTGCTGAAAGAGTTGAATTTAACATAATGGTTATAGCTATGTCACTCATTGATGAATTATAATAGAAATCAAATAGTTTGCTCGTCGAGTTCATGCAAGTTATCAATGACTTTATAGCTCTTATTGCATTGTCCACATCTTATAAAACTCTCAATTGACTCAGAATTTATCATACTGTCCTGTCTGCAACATAAATGATGGTACTGGCATCAAATAATGCTGATGCCAATTGAAATGAATGGGCACAACTTTTTTACATGGGAATAAATTATGTGGCTAATGAATACTAAATTGAGAGGAACCTCTGGATGAGGAAGTTCTCAAAATTTTGATGTTTGATCTGTTTTATACATAGCATTATTCTTGTACATATGTCATGTGTAAGACGAGGAGGAATATGAAGACTTAGGGCCAAGAAAAAATATACTTGTTTCTGGTCACCGTTTTTTTTTTATTACCTGCACACTGATCTCAGTGTTCTCCAGCTGTATTTTGTTTAATTTTTGTGTTTTATATTGAATATCTGACCTGACTTTCAGATGGATTGATATGGTAGCGTCATGGCAATGTCTCCGCTATACTGTGCTAATTTAACAGGGACCTGCTTAAGTCATCTGCACCAAAAAACAATCAGAAACACAACTATGCTTCTCGGCCTTAGCGAACAGTGATACTGATAAAGG